TAATAATAATAATAATAATAATAATAATAATAATAATAATAATAATATATATCTTATTGGATAAAAAAATATTTAAAATTGAAACGACAGTTCCAATAATCATGTGAGTAGAGAATTCATATTCAACTACTTAATCCAAATAGCAAATAAAATTACAAAGAATAAAAATTTAATTTTTCAAAATATATACTTTAATAAATCATAAACAATATCATATTCTCTCTATCTATGTCCTGATGTCACATGTCCTATCAGAGCAAAATCTCACATAGAAGCCTAAGCTCCATCATCCACATCCTCGGCCTCATGCTGCTAATGGTCTCATGTATATCAAACAAGAGAAACAACACAAAAAAGGGAGTGAGAAACATCTCACTCTGGCTCACGGTGTAGGAACGCACACCGGATAGCCAAACACAAACAATACAGTTACCTCATAGATCAATCAACAACAATAGCTTATCCAATCATCCAAGTCATACAAATAGTAATTTATCATCATTTAATAATAAGAATGCACATGCATGGACACCAACTACATATTATCATGCATGTGGCTCCAGTAAAACATCACATGGCATATTGCCGCTAGCAATACACGAAGAGTAGTCTAGGAGTACATGTCGGGTCACACCCTCTGCGCACTCTCACTAGAAGGATATACTACTAGAGTCTCGTCGGGATAGCTAAGTCGTGCAAGATACATCCCATGCACACAATGGGCGAGACTGGGACTTCCAAACCGAGCTATCCCCAAGGACTAATCCCCAAAGCTTTTACACTAGGGGGCCTTCTCTGGCGGTGTATTCCATATTGTACCCTTAAAAACATTTATGCATATGATACATGTCAATCAAGACTCCATGCTTTTCTCATGTCACATTTTCATATCTCATTCCCATATCACATTATCATGTCTCAACACATCTCATCATCACATCTCCTTATTATATTTCATCATCACATTCGCTTTATTACATCATATTCACAATTTTCACAGAACACTTTTATTCATATCAGAACTCATCTATTTGCGAAAGTAAACATATATTCATATATCTCGTACAACAAGGAATACAACAGAACAATTAGAAGGTAACACAAAAAATATTATAAATATGTTTGTTTCTCATAGGGTTCCCACAGGAACTCGCAGAGCATTCTAATTCATATCAAAACTTGTTTATTTTCAAAATTAAACACACATTCACACATCTCTTTTAATAGGGAATATAACGGAATAGACAGAAAGCAAAACAAAAATATTCCTATTTTGCTGCTCATAGGTTCTCTGAAGAACCCATAGAGCGTTCCAATTTATGCAATAAACATTTAAAATAAGACAATTCACGTATATAATTATTATCACAATTAATTTACTCATACAAGCACCAATGCACTCCCTTAGGATTTCCCGTAGGAACCCATAGGAGCACCAAATTCCACAATCATAACCTAAACAAAGTTTCTATTCATACACGCATATTAATTAAGTAATTAGAACATACAAGAAAAATATGACATACAACAAACACAGGATTGGGGGCCAATCCCACTACCCAGCATACAATCTCACACCCAGAGCGAGGTTTCTCACTCCCCCCTTACCTCGATGAACAGGGGTTGAAATTGAAGCAGGATCTCCTCCTCCGGGTTCCCCTTGGTCTCCAGAAAGTGTAGAAGAAAAAGGTCAAAAGTGAAAAAATGTCTTTTTCTGGAGTGTCAGAACGCATTTATAGGCATCAGGATTTGGCCAGAACGGCCTGTTCCGAATCCGGAACGGCCCGTTCTGGGCACATAGAACATGTACAAAAGCCTCTCCCAGAACGGCCCGTTCTAAAACCAGAACAGTCTGTTCTGAGTCAATACTTTGTTCTTTAAAACCACATCCGGAACGGCCCGTTCCCAAAGTGGAATGGCCCGTTCTGGGTTGAAATTTTACCCATGCATGCTCGAGTTGGAACGGCTCGTTCCCAAAGTGGAACAGCCCGTTCCGGGGCTATGAAAATCCAGAATTACTGATTAATAAATAAATAACACACACACACACACACACACATATATATATATATATCAAATTAAAATAAAGTATCAATACAATTTAAAACATGATTTTCTTCAAATAATAATTATAACAAAATATCATAATTAATAATATTATACAAAATAATTTTCGATTATTATTAAAACCCTTTAAAAATTCAATCAAATCCATTTAATTAATCAAAATAATTATAAGGAAATAATCTTCATAAATACAAAAATAAATAATAATTATTCGTAGTATTAGTAGAAAAACTCGGGATGTTACAAGAACCATGCATATGTTAGATTTACATAATGTGGAAACAACTTTAATTGCAACTTTTCATATTTGTAAGGATCTACTTGTCCTTTTTGACACAAAACATGTCTATCTTTCCATTTTGTTTTGTGTAAGTATTGATAAAGCATTTTTGAATTTGATTTATTATGGGAACATCCAGACATAATTACTTTCCTTTTTAGAGATCATAAATGATAAATATTTAATACATATCTTTCTTTATAAATAAAGCTTTGTTTAAGTTAACAAAAGTAACAAGATCATTTTGGTGCAGCTTTCATCTTATAAGATAATTTATCTTTTTGAAAAGTTATATCTTAGTGAGATGTTGTATCTTATAAGATGATTCATCTTTGTTATTTTGAAAATTTTTCTATTAATAAAAATCTTCTTTATTTATTAATAATAAAACTTTAAAATCTAAAGAATCTAAAACTGTTTTTTGAACTAACATTGGTTTATTTCCTTTAAAATTTCAAATTTATTCCTTAAGTTATCATGAGTAAAGAAAGGAAAGATTAATAGTATTAAATATCTCTTATTTTCGTCATATCTAAATAAGACAAAAATTAAATAAAGGACTAAAATATCGTGAATGCAAAATATCTTGTGTTGAACTATTATGCATAGTAGTTTTTATTTTATACACCGATGTAATATCACGAAATAAATTTTGTAAATTTTTTTTATAATATTTCTAAACTTGTCTTAAAGTTAAAAAGGCTTATAGCAAGAAGCAAATAAAAAAAAATAAAAAATAAAGTGAAAACTGTTAGGACACACGCGGCACACGCTGACAGAGAGAGAAATATTTGAAAAAAATTCATTATACCCGCGAAATTTCAAAATCTGAGAGAGAAAGAGTGAAGCCAAGTAGGCATCAATGTCTTCGTTTCCGAGTTCCGAAGAACGAAGAGTTGCATCGTCTCTGCTTCTTCTTCACACTACACCATCTTCCACACTTTCTACACCAAAGTAACCATAACCATCTCAATTCGCATCATCGTTCTTACGTTTCTCATCTTCGTTTCGATCTTCACTCTCTACTTTTCACTAATTTCTCGCTCTGAAGGTTTCACTCTGATTCCAGCGATCCAGAGAGAAGCAGCAGCAAGAGTTTCAGAGAAATCTCAGTTTCTGATAAATCTTCATCTTCTTCGCTCACCAACGACGAAGATGATTCCTCGGAGGAAGAGATCAAATCTCGTAGCGTATCGTTCTCTGCCATCACGCGTTACCATCAGATGAAGCTCAAGGTCGATTCTATATTTCGATATACCTTCTCATTGATTCTAATTAAGTCTTTGTTTCGCTTCTTTATCTGTTTGTGTTTGGATGCAGAACAAAAACAAACAACTGTGTATGAAAATTCACTTCACGGATTCTTCTATTGAGATTCTGCTTTGTTATTGTTTCTGGAGATCTTCTGTGTTGTTAATGTTAAACTGAGTTTCAGCGAGATCGGTTTTACAAGGCGCAGATGTTAACATTTCAATTTGATTGATAATTGCTATTTATGTTGCAATTACGATTTACGAATTTGTCGATTGTTTTATTCGATTCATTCACAATGTAAACATAGAAATTTCGGTTTGTGAAAGATTGCGAGGAAGAACCGGTCGAAGGTCACGTGGACCTCGTCGTGCTCCGGCGACCGGAAACTGAACGCCGGCGAGGCGGCGAAGGTGCTGTCTCCGGTTTCGGTCTCCGGCGATGCCTCGTCCTGTTTGTCGAGCAGCTCGAGCGGGATCTCCAGCGCGCGAAGCTTGCGCTACGCAAACAGATGCAGAGGCGCGACTGCGAGTGTGACCGGGATCGAACGCGAGACGGCGGCGCCGTCACGTCGCGCCGCCGGTTCGCCGCACCTGCGCCGTCGCGGCGAAGCAATATTGAAGTTGCTCTCTTGCGGTGGCTCCTCTGAAGTGAAGATCCGTCAAATGCTTGGTGACAGCCCTGACACTAGCAAAGCTCTACGAATGTGATCTCTCTCTCTCTCTCTCTTATACACACAGATCGCGCCATCGTGGCATGCAACATAAGCATTTTTATGAAATACGCGATTTAAATTCACTAAGTTAATTTGTTTTCAGCGGAATGGAGCGAGATTTTAGTTATTTACGAACTGGATTCAGATTTGCAATCGGTTAGTACAAAGTTTGATTCTGTGTGATACTGTGATCACTCAGTGTTGCAGCAACAGCAAGCATCGACTTTCACCCAACATGAATTATATTTTCGAATTTTCATCGTACAGAAAAAATTGCCAATGAAACCCTCACTAACACATTTTTATTGTTAATTAAAATTTATTAAACGTTAGCTCTCAGACTCTTTTAATCAATGCTACACTCGTGGTTTTTAATAAATTTTAATTAGTAACAGAAAATGTAACAAAGGGCTATTAAATAATTTATATCTTATGCTCTTTCTTTTCATGTAAAGCTCATTATTTTTGTTGGGTCTGATCAAACCAAGAACTACGTATATATGTGCAGGTTGCTGAGGGTGGATGCCGTAAAAAGATCAGGCTCGGGCGGGCGTCATGATCCCTATGTTTACACGGTACATTTTTATTCTTCACTACTTAATTTGAGTTTAATTTTTTAGTATGAAATTTAGTATCATTTAATTTAATCATATGCAAAAGAAAAACTAATGAATTATAGCATTAACCACTAACAAAGTCGGATTTTGATCTTCTGCGGTTACAAGTGAAAACTGCATGAATCTAGCCGGTTAACATTTTTTTATTACATCATAAATTAGAATTTGAAATTAAATTTATTAAATTTAACGGTGACATTAACAACTGCACCTAGTGCAGTTTGTTTTGAAACTGTAGATATGATCATGATCCATCAAAGTCATATATGATGCACAACAACGTACAATTTAAAGATTTTACACTTATTTGTCCCTCACAACTTAGATTGCTTGATGAATATTTCTCTATTTAGAGGATTTCATTTCCTTGTTTTGATATTGCTATTTGGAAAACAAATATTTCTCTTACAGATAACTGGATGAAGTTAGAATAAGGAGGTATGCTAGATTGTAGCGGATTAAGTATACTCACACGGATAAAGGTTCTTTTATACGTATATCATATATCACTGCAGATTCAGGTATATATATGTATCCCTAAAATATATAATAGGGAAATTTTGCTGTAGAGCAATTTTTATGTAGTCTCTAGTCATCTAGAGGTTTTTATGGTGTCCGCCGTATATGTCGTATAGATCTCAACAGCCATCGTTTAAGTACATACTGGATCAGCTCCAGCTATATTTTTTTTCCCCATTTTTGTTCAGCTCTTACTATTCTATTCTATTCTATTCTATTTCCCATAATCAAAACGTGATCTGTTGTATAAAACTTAAAAGTGAATGAAATAGAATATATTAAAAATGTTAAATTGACGACTTCTGGGTACCCTTTAAAATGGTTATAGATCCATACTAATCCAAATAAATCGAGAAACTGAAAATTTTGGATCGGTTCGACTCAGTTTCATATTAGTTTAAAAAAAAATAAATGAAAATTTAATAAATTTTCATAGAATTACAGATTTTGATATTAAATAGTCAATTCAATCTTATCTAATCAATCAATTATTATATATTATTATTTTATAATAAAGAATTGAAATTTATTAGTAAAAAATATTTAAAGTTTAGACTAAAAGGTTAGGCAAAATTTCCATTCATTTTTAAAGTTATAGCACTTGAATCAAGTATAAAAAAAAGTACTTCGATCAATATTCCTTAATTTACACATAGTTTTATAATTTTATACTTTTGTTTTCCTCGATTTGTTATATTAAAGTTTAAGTATAGGTATATTACAACTATTATAAAGTAAATATAATATTAATTTTAATTTTTTTTATGACATATTTAAAGTAAGATTTGGTTGTGAAAACTCCAATTAATATAATTGATCTCGTAACTATTTTTAGTGTTTGTTTATATAAAATTTTAGGTTAACTTATGAGTTAATTATTAATATATTGTTAATATAATTTTTTTTTTACATAAACAACTAATTAAATCTTTTAAATTATTTTATTTTATTTTTATTTTATTAAATAAATAACTGACATAATATTATTAAAAAATTTAATTGATTATCGGTGTAAAAAATTTACACTGATTAACTTTTATTCTATGTCATGTAAATTCGGCCGTTATTGATTTTTTAGCCTTGGAGGGTGTACTTTATATATCATAATTTGTTACTTATGTGGATAGGGACATCAGCTTTAATTTCATTGCCTAGTTAACTATACATTGCGGTTAACAAGTCATTTCAATCTACTATTTTGATTACCTTATAAGTTTATTTAACTAAACTAAAGTGTTTGATAAACAAATTTATTTCATTAATTTATAATTTTTTTCTTTAATATATATACTTGAAATAATATTTGAGTTTATAACTTGTGATTTATTATTTTATTTCATTTTCTCATAAAAAAAATTCTTCATTTATTGTCTTCTTTAATATTATACTATTTTTTTTAAATAAATTATTACATTATTTATATTATTAATTTTAATTTTAACACGATATTTGATCACTGAACAATGAATGCTAAGAGCTCAAATCAAACTTAACTAAATTTTTTAAAACTGTCATTATTAAAAAAACATATTTATACAAAATTAAATAAAATAAATGTAAATATATTTGTTTAGGTCTTTTTAGATTTACTAATTAATTTTATTGGACACTCTTAATTCAATAAACTATCGTAATAATCAACTTGAATTAATGTATTTCAGACAAGCCAACACAATTTTATCTTTATTAGCGTTTCAATTAGCTAGATACTACAAATCAATACGCCATTTGTAACAATATTATCAAGATTCACTAGATGTATTTTGTCTTTTATTCATATATGGACATATATGCCACATTTTATGTAGACTACCATAACTTAGAGGAAATAGTATCGGAGGGGCTACAGAAAGGAGAAGTCGAAGAAAGATACGGTATCATTGAAGCTATTAATTTATTTTGACAAAGAGATATCTTTAAAATTAAAACATGTAATAAAATTTGAGTAAACAACTTGTACCGGAAGGATCTTATCGGTCACATGAACCAACACGTGCCGTTCCGTTAGGCACCCACGCGAACTAAACCATGCCTACACAAACCTTGACGATAACATCGGCTCGGCATACAGCCGAAGGCCGAGAAGGGTTAGCTAACGATCTCGACTCGGCTGAGGACCGATAAGAACAACACTGATGCGTCTCCTTATACTACGTATCGGCTCGGCCAAACGCTGACCGAGTAGAATAACCGAACAAATACTTGTCGGCCCGGCCAATGGCCGAAGACGTCCAACATCCCAAGCCTTTACCTGTTGGCTCGGCAATGAGCTGAGGGATAAAACAAGGATTACGGTACTAATCAAGGTTAACAAGAATAAACGCATGATTAAGACATAATCAGTCGATTAGCGTCGTATTACCTAATTTGGTAAACTTTAGGAGAGGCCCACTACTGACAAAGCCCATCAGAGGTAGTATAAATAGGTCATTTATATTGAGGTACGCCACTGTTCATTAATTACCCTAGAAAATCGTGCTTGTCCTGATTTGAGCGTCGGAGTGTCTTTTGCAAGTACCTCCCCTCTCCGAAGAATCCACCTGAAGTTCTCGTTTGGCCCTTCACATCCCAGAAGATTACGAGTGTGCCCTCAGACAGGTACATTTTGGCGCCCACCGTGGGGCCGAACCGATAGCTTTGAAGAAGACTGCTTTGAAGAATCGTTATGGCGAAGACAAGGAGAACCAACGCTGAAGACCACCAGTCAGAAGATGAGCACCGATCCGAGGCAGATAATGCCGAGACGGTCGATGAGATAAACTTAGCCGAAATGGTGCGACAGATGAAGGAAGAAATGGTCGCCATGAAGCAGCAACGGGAGAGAGATGCTTGTGAAATGGCCACCCTGAGGGAGGAAAATGCCGCCCTTAAAAACCAACATCAAGCTCAGGACCCCACATGGAAACCCTCTGAGCTGACCCATACTCAGGGGTCGTTCCACTCGCTCGGACATCTGATAGACCAAGGGCCAAGGGCCCAATCACTAGAGCTATGGTAGAAGAATCCAAGAAGAGTTGGACCTTGTGAAGGCTAGTGGACTTGTCAAGCCCAAGGTATTCTTCACTTGGAATGCTCTATCATGAAAGAGAAGGCCTAGTTCTACTTGTATATATTGTATAGTTTTTACATAGTCTCTTGTATAGGTTATTTTTGCCTTTGTATTTGTGAGGCACTTTACTTGCTTTTTCTAGTGTTTGTATATTGTTTTTAAGGTAGGCTACTTGGAGAGTTTAGCTCCATTTAACCTCCCTAATTGATACATTCATTTTGTATTTTTTTCAGTACAGAAAAAGGGGTGACATTTAGCAAAGCTAGGGAGTGTACTTAGAAATTGGGCCTGAGTTGGGCTTAGGCAAAATTTTGCATATTGGACTCATTTTTCTCCTAGTTTTTCATAGATTTGATTTAGCTAGGTTTAATCATCATTTGATGAACCTAACTAAACCAAATCAATAATTTTTGAAACCAATCAAATGAGAAAAAGAGACCAAGGCCGCCTAGCTCCTTCCTTTCTCTTTGGCCAAAATTTCCATGTGCATTCTTAAGCTTTTGAAGCTTCTCCTCCAAGTTTCTAAACCTTGGTAGGGTTGGCTGACTTTACCATGGTTCTTAAGTTAACCATGGTCAAGTATAGCTTCTCCTACAAGTTTTAGAAACCATGGATGGTTAGCTACACCTTACCATGGTTCCTAGTGAACCATGGTTAAGGTTAGCTTCTCCTAGAAGCTACCTCTCCCTATATATTTGTAATTCCTTCACTTGTACTCTCTCTTGAGCATTTGAAAAATAAAACTTCAGATTTCTCTCCAAAAGTCTCTCCTAAAACCGAAGAGAATTCTCTCTCTAAGGTTTCTCACCAAAGTTTCTTCAAACTTTGCCTTGGTTCCTCAAGCTTCTACAACAAGCTAGGAGTAACCGAATCCTTTCAAGGCTTCTCCTCCATGGAAGCTTATTTTCGTGGAGTTTCAAGCTTCATCTAAGGTCAACCTCAAGAGTTCACGGTCCTAAGCATGGAAAAACTTGAAGGAACATCAATCTCCTCCAAGTAGTTCCATCATTTTTGGTATCTAGAGCCTAGTGCTCTTGAGGTTTTTTTGTTCTAACTTTTCCTACTTGAATCTGTGTTGTATCTTCCTTCTCTTATGTCTAAATATGTGTTTGCTGCATGGATCTAAATTTTCTAAATTTTTTGATAGATCCTATATGTCATATGAGAAGTGAATTGATTCATGTTATTGCTTGTTCCTATTAATCCGTGAATCAATTATGTTGTGCTTTAGGTTCCTATACTTGTGCGTTTTGGTTTTGTTGAGTATCTCTATTTATTCACATGTGTCCGTAATTGGACAACATGCATTGAGCTTAGATTTTGTTTTTGAATCAATTGTTTTGTCTTAGAAAGTCATGTGTAGTCCTTTGTATCTTGAAACTTCCTAGATTAGCTTGTTTGACCTAATTTTTGTTTTGTGTTGTTGTGTCCGAAATTTTTGTGTCTTTGCTTATGGAATTTGTACCTTACTATATGTGTTTTTGCTTTACATGTTTGAGTTCTTAATTTTCTATTAGTTCTAGCAAATTTCCTAGAGTTAGGTTTCTATTATGTCTTGTTAAAAGTTTTGTCAAGAAAAATTATTAAACACTTTTCTTATTAGGTTTCTTTGTGTCTTGTTGTGTGACTGAAACCTATTGCAATTTTTTGAACCTTAAAACAGAGACAAAACAGAGGTGTAAGTGTTCTAAATGCATGAGAAAAACAAAAGAATGAGTGCTTAAAAATTTGACTTAAAAATACTACAAAATTGTGAAGCACTAGTAAAAACATGCTTGTAAACACCTCTTGTTTTGTGTGAAAAATTTGCTGCAGTTTTTCTAGCCTAAGGCCGACACCTATACTTGTTTAAAAA